GTACCCATTTCTGTCCACATCATACCCACCTCTGTCCACATTGTACCTACCTCTGTCCTCATCATACCTATCTCTGCCCACATCATACTCATCTTGGTAGCCATCTCCTCCTGATTTAATCTGCAGGAGTACAGTTCAGAAATGTAAATTTGGACCTACATGAAAACGTGGTCTTTCTCGTCTTCTTCCTGCTGATGTTTCTGTTTTCGCTGCAGGACTTCTGGTTTTCTCTGTGAAGCCTCCAGAGCCACTGGCAGCAGTTCTAACATGTCTGTTGATCTTGGTTCTGTTTGCTCTTCTACAGTTCATTCATCAAATGTTGGCCATTTTGTCAGCTTGGATTATTACAACAGGAAGTCCTGAGTTACTGCTGGGCTTTAGAGAAGAGAGTTTCAGGCGAGAGCCGTTTTGGTCTGTTCTACATTTCTGCAGAAATATACTAGTTTTATTTAAACTGCTCCAGAGCAGCTCGGTGGTGACGTCCGGTGTGAAACAATCACCACATTTTTTTTAATGTGAGCTCGCTCGCTGTGCCAACTCCTGAAGAAGAGAGCAGCTGACAGAAAAGCACATTTACAGCAGCCCTCATTTATCAGCAGAGAGCTTTAAGGACCACAGAAAGTTGTGTTACTTATTTTCAGAGATAAAAATAAAGACGATTAAGCAGTAAATTTCAGTAAATTTGGGGTTTAACTGCGTTGTTGGCTGCTCACAGAGCTGCAGGGAAAGATGCAGCTCAGTTCTGATCCGCACTGAGACACCGAAGATTAATGAGACGCCCTGTGGGTTTTAAAAAATCATCCCAACAAATGACACCGATGGGAGAAATATGATAAATCCTGAGGAGGAGATCATTAAGATGGAGGACAAACACTCATTGTTTTATCTTTACCGGGCTCCTTCGGACTTTATTGAACTTAATGAGAACTCTAGACAAGTTTTTATCAACACTTTCATCAACAGCCCACTGTTTTACAAGAAACATCTCCTAAATTAGCGCTGCACGCCATCAGCATTGTTATTATTGTGTGAACGTTTATGAAGCATTCACTTTATTGTGGTCTATTTTCTTCTGTACGTTTTTCAGCATCTTCTTGTTCCACAATTTTTGTGCCACTCAAACAAATCATAAATCAAAACGTTCAGCTCTTCCAGGACAATACTACTGTGACTTTGGGTACAACTTTAGCTTTTTGAAATATTTAGCCTTTTCTGCCCTTTTTTTCCTCATAAAAAATGAATTGAGCTCATTTTCCAACCTTCAAATCTTTAGATCTGTTTACAACTTTTTCCTGCTCCTTTCACGTTTTGTTCCGCTTCAGCTTCTTTCAGCTTCCTTGTGCAAATGTAAACTTTTTTCAGCTACTTTCAGCTAATTTCAGCTGTTTATTCAGCTGTTTTGTGCTCCTTTCAGATTCTTTCTGATAACTACAAAATTTTTGTGCTTTTTCTAACTTCTTTCTGCTATTTCAGCTACAATTTAGCTGTTTTTCAGCTATTTTTAGATGTTTCTTTCTACATTTTTGTACTCATTTAAACTTTTTTCAGCCTAATTAAGCTAAAACGTGCTCTCTTCACTTCCTACTGGTAATTTAAGCTTATTTCTGCCTTTTTAAAGCTACTTTTCAGCTTTTTTGTGCTAATCTCAGCTTTTTTCAGATAAATTCAAGACTTTTGTGCTAATTGCTGCTACTTTTAGCCTACTAAAATAATTTCTGCTAATTTCAGCTTGTTATGCTCCTTTAATCTTATTTCAGCTAGTTTCAGTTATTTCAGCTACTATTTAGCTGTTTTTTTGCTAATTGTAGTTTATTTTTGTCTAATTCCACATTTTTTACTCATTTAAACTTTTTTCAGCTAGTTTCAGTTATTTCAGCTGTTTTATACTTTAGGAATTTCAGGTAATTCCACATTTTTTAGCAATAATTAAAACTTTTTTTTAGCCTAATTCACCGTAAATGTGTTCTCTCCAATTCCCTCTGGTACTTAAAACTTCTTTCTGCCTTATTTATTGCAAATTTCAGCTTTTTTAGCCAATTTTCTAATTTTTGTGCTCATTTCTGCTTATTTAAACCTAATTCAGCAAATATGTGTTCTTTCTGCTTTCTTCTGCTTATTCGGCTTGTGTTTCCATTTCAGCTACATTTCAGAATGCTTTTTTTAGCTAATTTCAGCTGTTTTTCAGCAAGTTGTGCTGTAATAAACATTCACACTGCATTTTTGCAGGAAATGCGATTTCTCTACTTGCTCTTGTGAAAGGCGAGCGATCATGTAATCTGTCTGTAAAATGAATCGGGATGAATCCTGAACAAATTTCTCTGCTAGCTGAGGTTTGCAAGCGGCCATGTTTCACCGTATTTCACGTCCGGAGTTACTGTGAAAAGTTTCCCCACCTCTCGTGGCCTGACGCAGCTTGTGGAGCCGTCTACTTCCTGGAGGAAACCGTCTTTCACCGCATCAGTTATTAACATGTTTGCTCAGTCTGCAGAACACAAAGCCGCTCCTTCAGTCAACATTTGGTTTTGGCTCCCAGCGAGGTCTGAATGGATCGGACCGGAGCGCGTGGTTTTAAGGATAAACAGATTCCTGCAGCGTGAACAGAACCGATCAGCTGATGGCTCCACCAGACTGAGGCTCAGCTGCTCTACATTATTCAACAGATTTGCTCTGCTTGGACAGACACGGAGGCTGCTCTCCGTCTCTGGAACCATCAGCTGAGCTGTTTTTGTCATCAACACCAGAGGAGATGATGAGGTCTGTGTTCAGCCAGGACAAATTAGAAAAGTTCTGCAGAGTTTGGGTTCAGGTAGGCAAGAACCGTCCAGGCTCTGAGGGTCCCTGAAACTCCCAGACTCCACCATGAGCCCTCTGGAGAGGACCATCAGGTCATGATGCTCATCTAAACCTGAAAATCTAATTATTCATTTTATTTAGAAATTCTGCTCACTGGGGTCAAACAAACCTTTCACAAAAAAGTTCCACAGAAAAAACGTTTTCCCATCATCCCCTGCTTCTTCCTGTAGACACCGACCAGGAGCCAGAAGTTGAAGCCACAAAGGTCGAGCGCCTCCTGGTGGCTGGTTCAACAAACATCCATTCATCCATTCATCCATCCATCCATCCATCATCAATTGTTCATTGTCCATCCATCATTCATCCATTGTCCATCCATTGTCCATCCATCCATCCATTTATCCATCATCCATCCATCATCTATCATCCATTCATCCATCATCTATCACCCATCTATCCATCCATCCATCATCCATCCTTCCAACCATTATCATCCATCCAACCATTATCCATCTATCTGTCCATCCATTCAGCCATCATCCATCCATCATCCTTCCATCTATCCATCCATCCATTATCCATTCATCCATCCATCTTTCATCCTTACATCCATCTTTCATCCTTACATCCATCTTTCATCCTTACATCCATCATCCATCCATTATCCATCATCCATCTGTCATTCATCCATCTGTCATTCATCCATCATCCATCCATTCATTCATTCATTCATCATCATCCATCCATCATCATCCATCTA